AGTATAGCTTACAAATATCTGGTTGTCAGTTAGCCATCACTAGTAAATTGTTATCGTGTTGATTATTCGGTTTCCTTAGTGCAGTTGTTCTAGTAGATATTTTATTGATAGGTAATTATTGCAATCATGCTTTTTTCATTTGGTGTTTTGACCGTATAAGCATGTACTTACATATATTTTGTTTCTTCTACTCAGATGAATGTATTTCACCCCACTGTTTAAGGAACACTCCACCAGAATAGGCCATTCTGTTGGTTATGGTGGAAGTACTGCCCTGGCACTTTCCCAAGACATTATGTCAAACCATGCTAAAACAGTTTGACAATTTAACTGGATCCCATCTTGTGTCCACATCATCTGGTCTTTTTAAATTGTCAAAGTGTGATGAAAAGGTTTGAAATGGTTCAAGGGCAATTCTGGCACTAGGCTGTAGTGCTTGGAGTATTTCTTTAAGCGTTGTTTTGGAGATAATCTCCCTTTTAATTTGAGTGACTGACTAGCCATGTGGAACATTATATAAATATCTAGTCCACTTTGTGCACCCAGGTTGATTCTTGCCTGTAGCAGAAGAACAAAGCTTGAGAAAAATATATAATTTTTTTAATTTTTTTTTTTTTTAGGGGTTCGGGAGACCCTGGGAAAAAGAAACAACACATATGTCACATTGCCGGCTGTGGAAAAGTGTACGGGAAAACATCACACTTGCGAGCTCACTTACGCTGGCACACAGGAGAGCGCCCTTTTGTGTGCACCTGGGTGTTCTGCGGGAAAAGATTCACTCGAAGTGATGAGTTGCAGAGACATAAACGCACACACACCGGTGAGTAAATATTTTCAATAAGCGTATTCGGTATTTTTATCAATTGCATATTGTATTGGTTCCAACACTGTAGTCTTTCAAAGTACAGGTTTTGTGCCTGAGTAATTTGAGAAAGCATAAGTGGTAGTTTGTGCCTGTTTGAAAGTTTCCAGAATATCTATAACCCAATGTTTTATTGGCCATTACATGTTCTCATTTTAAAGGAGCATTGTAGTCCCCTGGACAATGTCATCTCAATTAAATGGTCTGGGTGCATTGGTCCTGTCTTTTCAACAATGCAATGTGAATTTTTATTTTTTTAAATTGGCTGCTTATAGAACATTGCAGGGTTAAATCCACCTTTTAGTAGCTGTCTTCTTGAGCATATTTCAGTTTTGGTCATACTTGGTCAGATAGCGCCATCGTTACATCTTGTAGGGCCTATGGAGCTCTTAGGCTGCTCTTTTTAACGTATTTTTGATGGTTTTTATTTTATTTTATTTTTTTATATATGCATTTGATTCTTGTGCATTGATTTTCATCTTTCTACTTTTATTTCTTTTCTTATTTTCTTCTAATAGGCGAGAAGAAATTTATGTGCCCCGAGTGCCCGAAACGCTTCATGAGAAGTGACCATTTGTCTAAGCATATAAAGACACACCAGAATAAGAAAGGCCAATCTGGTCCTGTTGCCATGACAACTGTACATATGGACACCGGAGCGGGTTCTGATGGCAGCACTGCCTCCACACCAACCCCCCAGGCTCTCATTACCACCAACATGGTCGCCATGGAAGCAATCTCCCCAGAAGGCATTGCACGACTGGCAAGCAGTGGCATAAATGTCATGCAAGTTGCAGACCTCCAGTCAATCAATATTAGTGGCAATGGTTACTAAGCGCCAATGTACAGGCAGGACAGTAAATAATGATGGGAAATATGTTTGGGTCTGGAAATAGGGGTAATCTTGTAAAATTATGATTGTGGGTCCAAACAAGATACATGGAAAGTATAGAATCTGCTCTCACTACTAGTTGGATGTTTGCCAATTTGCCTTATCAACCTTGTTGAGAATTTTCTTCCACTCTGTTGCAATGGTTTCCCTAACCTCATCATTGAGCATCAATTGGGGAATTTCTAGGTTTCCATTTTGAAGCCAAGTAACTTGGGGGCAGAATGGACTGCATAAGATAGCCCACTTAGCACCATGATGGTTAAAGTTGTCATCTTGGTAGTGAATTGCAATAGCTAAAATATACCAACATGGTTAAACATCTTGAATGTTTGAGGTCATTGTCAGAACTTATCCTTTTTTTATATATACACATATATAAATCTATTTTTTCTTTATTTTTCAGAAGAAAATACAATTACACCCTTTGCCATCATGCCTTGATAAAATCATTTGTCAATGCAATACATTTTTGACCAAGCAATGCTATATATGAAATATTCAAAAGCATTCAATAAAAGATGCCAAAAATATAAGAAGTGCTTAGACCAAAGGTTGCTTTGGTCAATCTATAGCCTTACCCTTTTTTTTTTTTTTCCTCCCGTTTATTCTTTGTTTTATTTCTTGCAGTTTCAGTCTCCTAATAAATTTAGATAAAATATTAGTAACATGATTTTATATGCACCACACAACCTATAATTGTTGCTTTATTTTATGTTGTATGTGAGTTTTAAAGATCTTCCCTTCTGCGTGGCAATATTGTCAGCATTGCATGGTTTTAACACAAGTTGAGATGATAAAGTTGGACAATTAACTATGCTGTTGTATACTGCCAGCACTTAAAATAAATTGTTTCTTTTTAGATTGCCATATTGCATTGGCATGGTTAAGTAGATGTTGATGAAATTGATCTTTAATGGGTTTCACTGGTATTATTCAGTTGAGGTGTCTATCTTGATGGTTTATTGTTAGACTTGGAAAAAGTTCTACTGACTAGAGAAAGATTCACATTTCAAACAAATGAAGATGATCCAGTGTTCGATTACAAATGCAATTCATGTGTTCAGCACAAGCCTTCTCAAAACCACAGACAGAAGGAAATACTCCTTTTGCATAAAGTTTAAATAGCAGGGTAAACAGTTGTCATTTGTTGCTCAGGTCCTATATACTTTAAATAATAGGTTATTAGACCTTTTCATCAGCCAAACACACATTACACCCCTTGAGAAGAATTTACTTAATGTACAATAGTAATTGTTTGGTTTCCATATACACATTCAGAAAGTGTGAGGATTTTGTTCTAAGGGAGGCTTTTTTACATGCTTTCTCATTGGTAATAGCAATGTTAATGTTATTAAATGTATTTTCATTGAATATCTTCCTTTTCTTTCTTTTTTTTTTTTAAACTTCCGATTGAACGTTTGCTTCCTGCACTGTTTAGTCATCTTGGCATGGATAATGATAAGAAGGTCTAGACTTGCATGTTTCTTTTGGGTGTAACTCTTTCCCCTGTTCTCCTCCCTTTTTCCACACTTTTTTGCTGTGAAAAAGGCCACTTTTATACAAATTGCTCTTGTAAATATGCATATATATATATATAGCTTTTTATTTTCAAATTTGCCTTTGGTGGGATATTTTTCCCTCCATACATATTTTTATATATTCATGCATAACCTACTCATAAGAAAAGATATGAATTGTATTTTTATACAGTTTTGCTACCCGTGGGGATTTTTGCATTCTGTATTCTTGTAATTGAGGTTCATATTATAATTAGGAAATGCTGAATAGAATGTTGATTGCAGGTGTCTAATCAATGTCTGTTTATTTTGCTTTATCAATTAATGTGCCGTTTAACCAGATCATACTGTTAGTTACTGTTCAGTGCTTTTTCTATTGTTCATTATTCCAAGTCATGTGGGTGAAGAGATGTTTTTCAAGCCATAGAAGAGTCAAATCGTGTTTGTTGCAAAATTATCCTGCAGTTTTATTCCTTTGAATTCATCTGTGCCTTCATTTTAAGAAATCCTAAACTATAATGAATTGGTTTGCTGTTATTTGAAATGCATAAGTATCCCAGAACAGTTTATCAGGTCAGAGATTTATTTTTTGTTGCTTTAATTTACTAAATATATTAAAACCACAAAATAAATGTTTAAATGAAATGTTTAAAAAGCCGTTTAAAAAAACAAAACAAAAAAACATATACTGGTATGTCAGACATCTGCTCTGAAACGAAATTTAAATCTGTTTGCATCAGTGTTAACATATGGAATGAAAATGCCCATTTCTGTCAACTCCTTTCTGCACCGCTATTTGGAGCAGACATGAAGTATGTAAGCACATAAATAACAGGTTGCCTTTTTATTGAACTTATAATTTTCTATGTAAAAATCAATAAATGTAAATAAAACACTGCACCTCATTTCTATGACAGACTCCACAATGTTTGTGTAATGCAGTCCACACGTTGGCATATTTAACTGAGAAGTGTCTCTTAATCACACTGCGTTTATATTTCTTTGCGTTACCTGTCTGTCTTGAATGGAATTGTTTACCAGGGTACTTGATCACTTCTGCTTGACTGTTGCATTATCCTAGTTAGCGAATGGATTGGTTGGAAATAACAATGTGTCACACTTGTATTCCCGTCTGCATGCAAGGAACTCCCAATCAGGCTTCATTAAACTAGGTTTAAATTAGCCTAACATAAGCACTAGTTTATGTTTTAGACATCCTTCAACACTCCAGATGTGTACTACATCTCCCCGATGCTTTGCATCATAACGGTTGTAAGAGCATTATAGGAGATATAGTCCACAACATCTGGAGCGCTGAAGATTACCTGGCCTAGGTCAACAAGAACTTCAATGATTGACATCCTAGTAAAAATCCAATGCGTCATCAGGTTGACAGTCTCCCTAATCCTGTTGACCTATAAAATTAAGCTTTGTAACAAAAAGGATTTGTTTGTTGGAATAATTTCCCTGTTGATTCTATTTGAATAATAAATTGCACGTTAATTTGATCTTGAAAACCATGTTTGTCTCAGTGGAAGTACAGACTTCTTGCTCTAGAGCGGAGGAAGGTAACCTTTGCACTCCAGATGTTGTGGACTACAGCTCTCCTAATGCTTTGCCAGCATTATGGGAGATGTAATCCACATCTGGAGTTCCGAAGGTTGCCTACACCTGCAACCGGAGGGAGTACCGTTAAACTTGCTTGTCCCTAGGGACTTTTCCTCCAGTATGGAGTTATTTAAACAGAATTAGCTACTCTCATACTTGATTGGGGGGGGAGAGAAACCTCTATCCATTACTGTTGATAAATTAGGATGCCATGACACTACAAATTACAGCTTTTCACCACCAACAGACTTTTTAAATGCAGTGTTAAGATAATACTATATAATCTGCCATAAAAAAAAACCCAAACATAACCATTTTAATTTCAGATGCTTAGCAATTTGACACTCCGCCTTAAATGAACACTATTGTCAGGAATACAAACCTGTATTCCTGTCACTATATAGTGTTAAGCTATTTTGATCTCTTACTCTCTCGTTGCAAACCACCACTCTGCACCAATCCTCCTTATCATAGAGATGCATTGAATCTATGCATCTCTATGGGGAGTGTTCAACTGAAACATAGGTGCTGTACACCGTCTGAGTGACTGCCACTACAGATATTACTAGGTAACAAACTAAACACTGCATTTTCTCTGAGAAAACCGTGTTTAAATTGCACAGCCTGCAGGGACATGTTATGGACACCAGAGTCACTACATTAAGCTGGCCCGTTAAGTGTTATTGTTAAATAGCGGGAAGAGCTGAATCAACAAATTTATTTAACCCCTTAAGGGCACATGTCATGATTCCCTTTTATTCCAGAAGTTTGGTCCTTCAGGGGTTAAAGAAACACTATAGTCACCTAAACCACTTTAGCTTAATTAAGCATTTTTAGTGTATAGATTGTGCTTCTCGGGTTTCACTGTCATTTAGGAGTCAAATCACTTTGTTTCTGTTTATGCAGCCCTTGTCACACCTCCCCTGACTGACACAGCCTGCATGAAAAGAAAATTGGTTTCACTTTCAATCAGATGTAATTTACCTTAAACAATTGTATCTCTTTCTCTGTAAATTGAACTTTAATCACATACAGGAGGTTCTTGCAGAGGATATGAAAATCTAAATTAAACAGAACTTGCAATAAAGGAAGGATAAACTTTAGATGACTCTTTACAGGAAGTGTTTAGGAATGCTGTGCAAGTCACATGCAGGGAGGTGTGACTAGGGTTCATAAACAAAGGGGTTTAACTCCTAAATGGCAGAGAACTGACCAGTGAGACTACAGGGACATGATCTATACACCAAAACTGCTTCATTAAGCTAAAGTTGTGTTGGTGACTATAGTGTCCCTTTAACCCCTTAAGGACCAAACTTCTGGAATAAAAGGGAATCCGCACATGTCACACATGTTGCATCCTTAAGGGGTTAAGCGAACTTGCTACTTTTTAGAGGTAATGAGAAAAGTGCTGTTAGATTCTTGTCAATATTCTGTAAGCATTTACTTCTTTAATGTGCCAAATTAATCTACTATGCAACAAAAACTAGATATATTTGGCTTTCTGCACACTTCAAAATACTGGGTTTCTTGGATTATCTGGTTATTTGTAAGCATGACTGGTGAGGTGTAAAAAACTATTTGTGAAAACCAGATCTCTGTGAATATTCTTAAGTGAATAAAGTAGTGTGTTTATTTGCAAAATATAACAAAGCATAATAAAACATTTCTTGTTCCCATAATTTTATTACATTTTGCCACTGCAGTGATGGTGTAAGAAGCCTGGTTCTCCTTTCCTTGGAGCATTGCTCGTCTGTATAGTTATCAACTAACCATACAAAGATCATTTTACAATGCAAGTGAAAACTACTAGATAAACACAACTGCTGCTGTGATTAATGTCCCATAGCTGAGAGGTGTGCCCAATAATTCAATCTGACCAAGTTTGTAGTAAGTTTGAAAAGTATGTAATGTACGTTAATAACATTTTCTTGCTTTATTTTGGGTTGTATATTTGCTCAAAAAAAATTGTCAAGTGATGCATGTCCCTTTTAAAAAAGCATGTCATTGCTGCTTGCAATGTGACATTGTATTGGTATATGAATTACATTGATATATTGAAAATTACTTTTACTTTAGAGGAAGTAGAATTATATTTCCTGGAGGTGTTGATCAGATATTGGTAATTCATATATTTTGCAACATGCACCTTACCAACAGTGCCACATGATGATTCTGGGCATTAAATGTATGTTGAATTCCTTTCTCCCAGCATGACCATGGGGATTATTCCCTAAACAGAACTGATTGATCAGAGATTTGTGCTTTTAGGCTTTAAGATCGCCATGTTTTCCAGTTAAGCTATTTAAAGCCTAAAATTTGTCAATGCAATATGTTTGCCTGATAAACTGTGCTGTGGAGATCATTGGGGGTTTGTAAACCATTGGCTCCTAACACTCTCTAGGTATTTAGGAACAGTAAGCCATGTCCTTGTTACACTGGCAATAATTAAGATCTGTACCTTTTTGTTTTTTTTTTTTTTGTTTTTTTTAAACTTGTGATAATCTTGAATTAGTTTTCTTTTTCTGACAAACATTTTAAAGCGTTCCCTTTTTTTCTTGTACAAAGATTACAACTATTTATATCTCCTTTGTAAAAAAGAAAAATAAATTTTTAATAAAGTGTCTAAACTGTATCAGATTAAATGTTTGTTTTTCATTCTCTGTGGCTAGTTGTCTCCAGAACAGTGTACAGGAAATACCGTATTTATCGGTGTGTAACACGCACTTTTTCTCCCTGAAAATAGGGGGCAAATTGTGGGTGCGTGTTATACGCCGGCCCTTTAAATACTGCAGCCACAGAGTGCTCAGGCGGATGCAGTTGGTTCTCACCTCCCCTGTAGCGTGGCCGAGCTGCTCTGCTGTCCGCGGTGGCTGGCTGGAGTGATAGGAAGGTGCATGACCGGGTACAGGAAACAGAAACTCCTGTTCCGCGCGGAACAGGAGTTTGTTTCCTGTACCCGGTCATGCACCTTCCTATCACTCCAGCCAGCCACCGCGGACAGCAGAGCAGCTCGGCCACGCTACAGGGGAGGGGGTAAGAAGGGGGTAAATAGAGGGGGAGTAAGAAAGGGGGGTAAGAAGTTCTTTATTTGAAATTTAAAGGACCACTCTAGGCACCCAGACCACTTCAGCTTTATGAAGTGGTCTGGGTGCCAGGTCCCTCTAGGATTAACCCTTTTTTTTTTTTTATAAACCTAGCAGTTTCAGAGAAACTGCTATGTTTATACTGAGGGTTAATCCAGCCTCTAGTGGCTGTCTCATTGACAGCCGTGAGAGCACGCAAGCGTCCATAGGAAAGCATTGTAAATGCTTTCCTATGCGACTGGCTGAATGCGCATTCAGCCGATGACTTCTCGAGCGAGGAGGAGTACAGCTCCCCGTCCGGCGCTGGAGAAAGGTAAGTGTTTAACCCCTTCCTCTCTCCAGAGCCCTGAGGGTGGGGGCACCCTCAGGGCACTATAGTGCCAGGAAAACGAGTGTTTTCCGGGCACTATAGTGGTCCTTTAAGTTTTTTTTTCCCTGAATTTTCCTTCTTAAAATGAGGTGCGTGTTATACGCTGATAAATACGGTATTTGCAAACTTTTCTGTTTTAAAGGGACACTACTGTCACCAGAACTACAGCTTATTGAATTTGTTCTGGTGAGTAGAATCATTACCTTTTAGGTTTTTTGCTGTAAACACTGTCTTTTCACAGAAAATGCAGTGTTTACATTACAGCCTAATGATAACTTCACTGGCCACTCCGCAGCTAGCTGTTAGATACTTCCGGAGTCATGGCTGCCTAAAATGTGTCCAAACATTCAGTGTCTCCTCCCTCTGCATGCAGACACTGAACATTCCTCAGAGAGATTCATTGATTCAGTTAATCTCTGAGAAGATGCTGATTGGCCAGGGCTGTGTTTGAATTGTGCTGTCTCTGCCTCATTGTCAGTCTCAGAAAATCCTAATTGAGAAGCACTGTGATTGGATCAGGCCACCACTTCTGATGATGTCAGCAGGCAGCTTGTTATTCGGAGGCAAACGGCATGCAGATCTACAGCTTCAGGCTTGAATACAAGTAAGATTTTGCTATGTTTAGGGAGGCATGAGTGGCCCGGGGGGGTTAGATGGTGGTTTTTTTTACACTATAGCGTCAGGAATACATGTTTGTGTTCCTGACTCTCTAGTGTTCCTTTTAAGGCTGCTTCACAGCTAAACCTACACATAGATAACACTTTAAACCAATCTGACACTTGACATTTAGTTCATTACACCATCAGGTGCACTACTTTGAATCTGGTCATGAACAATATTCCAAAGTTTTTATTTTGTTTATTTGCCACCATTGCTACAGGGGAGAATAAGCATGAGATCTGCTCCAAACTCATTGTCCATCTTGCTTGTCAAAGACTTTGCAATTTGAATAGTTGAAAGCAAATGTTTTTTTGTTTTTGTTTTTTGGTACACTCTGCTAATCCTTGCACATGTGGGGGAAGAACATGTAATGGAAGTAAAAAGGACACTCCAGACAGCTAAGCAAGTTAAGATAAAAGCTAATAAACTAACCACAGGTATTTGGCTTTTCTTTCAATTCTGTAGTTTTCCTGCAGTGCTGTAAAATGTTTTGCTGTTTTCAGCAGTGTAATCCACCCTCCTTAGCCAGCCCCTCTCAAATTTCGTCATGTTCCTGATTCCCAGTCTCTGAAAGAAACATACCTTTTGCAGCCAATGTCTTCTGTAATGTAAGGAAAACCAGAGTCAAGGCTAGAGTCGATATAGGCTCCACTCCCTCCCTGTAAAAAAATTCTCCTCCAGCCCCTGTCAGGCAACATCCATACCATTGTTAACCCCCTTCCCTGCCAGACAATCTTACTATGTGCATTTTTTGGTAACCTATACAGTTCCTTTAAGTTCAATTAATGTCTTTCCAGTGAGATGGTTTTTGTGAAATCCCTGAGATCTGACCTTGTACTGGAGTTTTGTGCTGCTGCAGTGTGTTTATATATCCAGCAGGTATGTTTTAGAAAAAGCCTACACACGCTCTTGGCTGTGAGTAAAACGTGTAGCACCCCCTAATGTTTTATAGGGGAACCATCCGTTCTCTGGATATTGCACCCCTGAATAAAACATTAAGTTGCCTAACAATTTACTTTTTTTCTTTTCTTTATGAAAGATTTTGCAAGTTACACCATATTTCAGTTGATTATAGGCACACATTGCAAATGAAAACATTTTTTACTTCTCTATTCTGCCTGCAAAGGGCAAGGTTTATAACAAGATTTCTTTACCTTCGAACTCTGCAGACTAATACATTCAAAAAGAATAACAAAACCAAATTACTAACCTGAATCTATTATTCAATCTTTACAAAAAAGTTTAAGTAGCTGAATTCCACCTGTAAACCATGTGTAAAACTAGTGTCTGTTATTGAATGATTAAAATGGTTCTGTTAGGCAAGCATACAACGATATAGGCAAGACACAAACATCTTACAGGCAGAGATGTTTCACATAATATATGTATATATTCACACTTTTATTTTTAAAGTAATAATTAGACATAATGAGAAATGATACACATCACAAACATTAAAATGCTGACAAAATTAGGCATTATGACATTTTAAACTTGGCTTTTAAAAACTTATAAATTCTGTTCTAATACATAGCATTCCTTTGTATATGTCACTGTTATAAGTTTCCAGTTTTGGGAATTTTGGTTGCAATTCCCAGATACAACAATTTTGCACATTTCCGGCCTTTGGTAAGTATGTACAACCATTGCCTGAAGTGGTTGTATCGCTATCAGGGCCAGATTAAGAGCCCAGTGGGCCTGGTGCTGACAATTATGATGGGGCCTAATTACAAAATCTTATCAACTAAAAACACTAAAACAGTCATACCTCCCAAGCGTAATGTGTCTGATGGAGATGGTGTTAGAGGGAAACTCAAAGGATGCAGCTATACGAAAAAACACTCTATGCTAATCTCTCAAGTAAATCCATACCATCTAACAGCAGTATCCAGTGAAGCAGGAAGTCAATGGGTGGGGTAAAAGGGTGGGCCACTGATGCGAATCATGTGATCAGAACTGCCAAAAGGGGCATGTCTGTCCAAAGAATTGGAAGGCCAGCCTGGCATCAGTGTCACTATGTATCACAGTGTCAATGTCCCCATGTCGCCCAGTTCCCTAGTCTCTGTGTCCTCATTTCTCCCCGTGTCTCAGTTTTTCCCTTGTCACTAGGATACTAGGGGACACAGACATGGGGACACACACTGGGAGACGTGGGCACTTGTGGACATAGACATGGGGACACTGGGAGCCGTGGGGACACAGACACTAGGGACATTGGCTGGGAGACATAGGGACAATGAGACTCTAGGGACACAGAGACTAGGGGACACTGGGAGACATGGGGACAATGAGACTCTAGGGACACTGGGAGCCATGGGGACAATGAAACACTAGGGACATTGGCTGGGAGACATGGGGACAGTGCGTCCCTTATGTCTCCCACTGTTCCTATGTCTCACAGTGTCCCCAAGTGTCTGTGTCCCCATGTTTCCCTGCAGCTCCATCAGCCCCTATGCTAACCCGGCCCTGATCTCTATAATATAAACATGATACAATGACCAGGAGGAACCTAGTTAGAGCTTGAGGTAAAAGACTTGTTCAGAGAGCGAGACACAGAAATTTGTGTCTCTTCAGTTATGCAAAAGCAATTATGGTGACTGACCTCTTCCAAAAGCATGATCTTTATATAACAGACAATCCGTTGCATTCAAGTTTCTGTGAGGTCTGCTGCCTCAGAGCCATTTTGTGCCAGAGGGCCACTTTTAGAATCCCGCTATCTTTCAGTTTCTTGTCCACAAACTGGACAAAGGAAGAATTGAATTCCGCTATCAGCAATAATATTTCGCCTTCCCCACCCGAAAATCGCATTCTGCGTGCAAAACGTCCATAGGAAAGCATTGAGAAATGCTTTCCTATGGACTGTTTGAATGCACATGCGGCTCTTGCCGCACATGTGCATTCCACTCCACTCAGGAGCCGACGTAGCCGGGGAGGAGAGGTCACCAGCGCCGAGGGAGCCCGGCACTGGATAAAGGTAAGTGGCTGAAGGGGGACGTAAGGGTTATATACTGTCAGGAAAACGAGTTTGTTTTCCAGACACCATAGTGATCCTTTAACTACATTTGCACCTATACCTGCTCCTTCCCCACCATAGAACGGGGAGGACCTTAACCCTAACATAGTACTTACCCCACCTAATAGTCACCCTTACAAATGACGTTTACTTAATGGAAGCTGGCTGTCCTATGTATCATTAGGCCAGCATTTTATATATTATGACAAGTGTCAAAATAGAATAGGCTTTACAGGAACACCTTAACTACACATGGTTCAATATATAATAAAGCTTGGAAAGTATGCAGTGATGTTTCACGTATTGTATCTTTTGTTGTTTTTAAATCATTTTGTAACTATTCTGGAAGCAACCAATCCACTTTCAAATTAGGACATCTGCTTGCCTCATTTCTCAAGAAAATGTATTGTCCCCTGAGTGAAGTCCTGAAAGGCCCCAGATTTGGTTAATCAACGTCATCCGGGCAGCTGTGTGGGATTTGTGCTCTCTTCGTTC